CAGATATATGCTATGCAGTCCATGTATTAAGCCAGTTCATGCATTGTCCAGAGAAGTCTCACATGGAAGCTGCTATAATGGTTGTGAGATATATCAAAGGAGCACCAGGGTTAGGGTTGCTAATGAGTTCCACACAGTCCTCTAAATTGATAGCATTTTGTAATGCTGATTGGGCATCATGTCATGTTACCAGGAGATCAGTAACAGGATATGTGATGAAATTGGAAAATTCTTTAGTGTCATGGAAGTCCAAGAAACAATGCACAATCTCAAGAAGTTCTGCAGAGGCAGAGTACAGAAGCATGGCAGCATGAGTTGCAGAAATATCATGGTTGACAGGACTTTGCAAAGAGCTGGGAGCTGAAGTTGAGCTGCCAGTGGAATTATATTGTGACAGCAAAGCAGCAATTCAAATTACTGCAAACCCCATATTTCACGAGCGTACAAAGCACATAGAGATAGACTTACACTTCATCAGAGAGAGGATTCAACAAGGGATTGTCAAAACCAAGTATGTGATGTCTAAAGACCAAGAAGCAGATTTATTCACCAAGGCACTTGGAAGATCACAACATGAGTACCTGATGAACAAGCTAGGAGTGCTCAACCTATTTGCACCACCTAGCTTGAGGGGGAGTATTGAGGAGAGAAGTGGCACGTGACAACCACGTGAGTTAGTGTAGTTGGCTGAAGGTTAGTTATAACTAATTATATGATTGNAGGAGCCTTTGTGGCTACAAGATTATATCTGCAATGGTTCCTTGACAAGGTCAGAAGGGCAGCAGCTTTGCAAATACCCAATGCATAACTACTTGACTCATGCAGGTTTCTCAGTCAAATATCAGTCCTATCTGTCCAAAATTACCAGTATTAGAGAGCCTCTAACTTATGAAGAGGCTGCATCAGACCCCAAATGGCTTGATGCTATGCAGCAGGAGTTGAATGTACTCAAGAACAACAGGACCTGGACTATGGTAGATTTGCCTACAGGAGAGACTCCTATTGGATGCAAGTGGGTGTTCAAGATAAAGTATAAGGCCAATGGAGAGGTTGAAAGGTACAAGGCACGGCTAGTAGCTAAGGGTTACAATCAAATTGAAGGCCTAGACTATCAGGAAACTTTCTCCCCTATAGTCAAAATGGTGACAGTCAGGGTAGTTATAGCTCTAGCTGCAGCCAACAACTGGAATTTGCATCAAATAGACGTCTATAATGCATTTCTCCAAGGAGACCTCACTGAAGAAGTGTATATGTGTCCACCCCAGGGATTTTCCAGCCAGGGGGAGAAGGTGTGTAGGCTGCACAAATACCTATATGGGTTAAAACAAGCTTCAAGGCAATGGAACCTCAAATTGACTGAGGCATTGCTAAAATCTGGTTTTGTACAGAGTCACTTTGACTATTCCTTGTTCACAAAGAAGCAAGGAACAAGATTAGTCATAATCTTGGTGTATGTAGATGACCTCCTCATAACTGGGAATGATCAAGGCCTGATTTCTGAGGCAAAGACCATGTTACAGGGTAACTTCAAATCAAGGACCTAGGAGAGTTGAAGTTCTTCCTTGGGATGGAGCTAGCAAGGTCCAAGGAAGGAATATTGATGAACCAAAGAAAATTTTCAATAGAGTTAATCACTGACCTTGGATTGGCAGGCTCAAAACCTGTGAATACACCAATGGAATGCAACCAGAGATTTACTACTGTAGAATATGATCAACACTTTAGCTTGAAAGATGATGAAGAACTGGTAGACTCAGGGCCATATCAAAGATTAGTGGGAAAGTTGCTGTATCTTACTATGACTAGGCTAGATATATGCTATGCAGTCCATGTATTAAGCCAGTTCATGCATTATCCAAAGAAGTCTCACATGGAAGCTTCTATAAGGGCTGTGAGATATATCAAAGGAGCACCAGGCTTAGGGTTGCTGATGAGTTCCACACAGTCCTCTATAATTGATAGCATTTTGTGATGCTGATTGGGCATCATGTCCTGTTACCAGGAGATCAGTAACAGGATATGTGATGAAATTGGTAAATTCTTTAGTGTCATGGAAGTCCAAGAAACAATGCACAATCTCAAGAAGTTCTGCAGAGGCAGCAAGAGTTGCAGAAATATCATGGTTACAGGACTTTGTAAAGAGCTGGGAGCTGAAGTTGAGCTGCCAGTGGAATTATATTGTGACAGCAAAGCAGCAATTCAAATTGCTGCAAACCCCATATTTCACGAGCGTACAAAGCACATAGAGATAGACTTACACTTCATCAGAGAGAGGATTCAACAAGGGATTGTCAAAACCAAGTATGTGATGTCTAAAGACCAAGAAGCAGATTTATTCACCAAGGCACTTGGAAGATCACAACATGAGTACCTAATGAACAAGCTAGGAGTGCTCAACCTATTTGCACCACCTAGCTTGAGGGGGAGTATTGAGGAGAGAAGTGGCACGTGACAACCACGTGAGTTAGTGTAGTTGGCTGAAGGTTAGTTATAACTAATTATATGATTGGTGGTTAGAGTAGTTAGTGGTGAATGTTAGAGTAGTTAGTACAGTTGTCATATACAGTGTATATATGTTGGACTTGTATGTTTTTGTATTCAGTTTTGATAGTGGAATACACAATCATTTCAGGTCACATGCTCTCCAATGAACTCTTCATTCTAGAACCTTCTCGTTCTTCCTCTTCTAGCTCAGTTAATCTGATCTTCTAGCTTCATCAACATTTTCCTATAACGAGTTAGTAGAACAAATATTTTGTTCAATAATATATCAGCAATTACTTAACCTATCCTGTTAAGAAAAAACTTGCACATAATATAAGTTGATTAACACTCGTTCAAGACAGTATTAGCGACAAAATCAAATACTAACATTGTACATGTCCCAACATATATTGTTTTTTACATTTTATTTTAGTTCACCAACATATTCAATCATTTTCTTTGGTGATAAGTTTTAGTCAAATGCTAACAATATTAGCGAGCAAATTAGTTAGTAATTGTTTCAGCAAATTACCAACTCAACTTTTTTGGTAATTGGAATTTTTTTTTTGGTGATATAAGTGAATGACTTTAATTTTTTAATAAGTCACCTTAAATTTGTCCGAGATTGCCGACAAGTTTATGTCCTTATTTTGACTGATGAATTAATTAGTTTGTGAAAAGAGTAAACAAAAAATCGGAATATATTATATTGAGAGCTAAACTAAGTGGGTGTTTGGACATAAGAATTGTAAAATTCCAAAATAGGGGGAAAAAATTTTCGAGTGAAAATGGTATTTGAAATTTATTAGAGTTGTGTTTGGACATGAATATGATTTTGGGGTTTTTTTTTTGAAGTTTTGTGAGTGATTTGAGTGAAAATTTTGAAAAAGAGCTTTTTGAAAATTTTCAAATTTTCGAAAATTTCCAAAAACAGCTTTTTGGAGTTTTTCAAATTTTCAAAAATTTCCAAAATGCATCTTCAAGTGATTGTTGAAAATTTTATGAACAAACGCTGATTTAAAATAAAAATTGAATTTGTTGGAAAAAAAGAAAAAATTTATTATGTCCAAACGGACTCTTAGCTAGCGTTTGGCCATAGATCCCAAATTTGTTTTGAAAAATTTGATTTGGGTGAAGTTTGGTTTGAAGATGAAAATGTGATTGCACATACGTTTTCAAAACATATTTTCCAACTTTATTTTGGAAAAATATGTATATAATTCCCAAGTTTTGGGATTTTGGCCCAAAATCAGCTCAATAGCTGATTTTGGGATTTGGGATTTGACCAAAATATGCGCAAAATTTATGGCCAAACATGAGTTTTGAAAATAAATCCCAAATTTATTTTGGCAAAACTCATGGCCAAACGGCCTTAGTTTCACTTTTTATAACTAATCAAGCAAGAGAGAGAGCCGGGGAGCTATGCACTATGTGATACTGAAGAATAGTGCGCAAGTTTAATTTTCATCCCATTAATATTATGAACACAACACATTAGCAAAACAAGGAGTATCAGTATTCTCTACTTCAAAATATTTAAGGAGTACAAAATTATAATTATGACTAGGGGTGGCAAATGGCGGGATCGAATCGGATATGGCGGGTCAAAAATAGGTAATGCAAAAATAGATAAATTATCTGACCCGACCCACATTTAATACGGATAAAAAATGGGCTAACCGGCAGAAAAATATGAATATTCATATTATCCATGGTTTATTGAATATGATTACTTTTTGGTAGAATTCTTAGTCTCCCAAATTTGAGTCTTTACAAATGTATATGTTAAACACATTGGTTATTCATTTTCTAAATGGATAGTATGATTCTTATCTATATTTAACTGGTTTTTAGAAAGTTTATTATCCTATCAATTTTTTAGCGAATAATGTGGATGAATAATCAAATTTTTTATCCATTTTGCCTGCTATGAACGGAAAAATTAAAGTGAGTGCAGCTGCGAGCTATGACCATAATGTGGAATGCAAGAATTCTCTAATGCTCGTAGTTTCTGCAAAAGTAAGAAGCCTCTGCATGGAGTTGTGGATTCGCCCAATCTAGTCCTGATAGTCCAAGACGAAAAGAAGAAAGAACCAAACTTTCGTGAGATAAGTCAAAAAGTTTACAGCTTTCCCAAGGAATGCGTGTCAGATAAGTTTCGACTTTCGAGTTTTGTAGAAAAAGGGTTTCACTGATGCAGTCTAATTAAAGAATTTTGAGACCTCTGTTTACACTTCCTTTGGATTGACGATTGAGTGAGAGTAAGACCATCACCAAATTATCAATGATCACAGATAATCCAACTAATAGTATGGTTAGAGATAGAGAGGGTAATGCGTATGCACACCTTACCTCTACCTTGGAGAGGTAGAGAGGCGGTTTCCGAAAGACCCTCGGCTCGACAGGAAGAATAGGAACAAGTAAATAATAACAACAAAGCTAAAAAAATGATACCAGCAATATATGAACCGGAAAAAAAAAGAAAAGCAATAGCAAGAAGCAGTAACACGATAGAGTACTAGAAAAACGAAGCGAAATATAGTCCAAAAAAAACCACCCTAATACTAGCACTCTAAGAATTGAAGACAACATACTAGTCAGCTAGCCCTAATGATTACCCTTCTACGCTACTCTTCGAACTCCATATCCTCTTGTCAAGGGTCATGTCCGCTCAAGTCGCTTCATGTTCTGCCTGATCACCTCTCCCCGATACTTCTTAGACCGTCCTCTACCTCTTTTCCTACTTGCCAGAGCTAGTGGTTGACACCTTCTCACCTACTATAACATCATTATAGTAGTACGACGTTATTATATTTTTAGATCATATTAGTCAAATAATGAATTCAGCCGAACTTAGCAATGGAATTATTGAATTATGACTATAGACACCAATTAAGTCGAGTATATTGAAGTACACAACACTAAGTAGCGAGTTAGAGAGACAGAAGGAATATTTCCATTAGAAACTAATTAAGCAAGCAATGCTGCATCGGATTCATGGTTTATTGATTGAGAACAGAAGACAGCTCAATAGATCCGTAATCAAGCAACTCCTCAATCATCTGCTCTATATCCTGATCTTCCAGTGGCTTGAATTGGTGCGCTCTCTCGCTCTGAACTTCGCTATATGGCATGTCAAGGTGCATTTTGCCATCTCCCTTGTTCCCAATTTGTGGGAATATCTGATTATTGTCCAATTTTGTCGCTCCAGATCTTGTTGACGTGCCAAGAGATGTCATATGAAGTTTAGCTATCAAAGCAGAAGACAAAAACCTTGTTGACGGCGACTGAGATTCGCTTGCATTATAAGGGAAATTAGTGCGTGCTATTGGACCACACATAAGTCTTGCAGCTTCATCGTATGCCCGTGCAGCATCTTCTGCTGTCTCAAATGTTCCTAGCCATATCCTTGTCTTCCTGTTTTATACAAATACCAAACAAGTACAATTCAACCACAAATTGAAAAAGAAGGTAACAATGAAATAGAACTTGATCATAGAAAATGTAACTAAGAGAGAATTTTACAATGAAGGATGACGAATTTCGGAAACCCAAGATCCCCAATGGCGCTGGCGGACTCCTCGGTATCGTTGTTGTGGTCGGGCCATGGCGAAATTAATTGGCGATAATAGTGGTAGTAATAAGTTATAAGTCTTTAGGAGATGCAGGGGAATGAATTGAAGGCTTTCAGGGGCTTTTGTAATGGCCTTCAGCTGGCAATTCAATATGGGGTTGGGTCCACAGAGACTTTCTATACCTTTCCTTCCTTCTTTTCTACTAGTAACTAGTAATACAATACAAAAAATAATCTGTCTTTCGAAAGAAAATTACAAGATTAAAAGGATGAAAGGAAAGGAGTTGTTTGTGAGGGATAGTATCTGAATACCCTCAACACTTATCATTTGTAATTACGAGCCTAAGGTATTTACATGGGCGGCTCAAGAGATCTCGTGGCCTAAAGCGAAATCATATTGAGGGGTGCTTAAATTTATTTTATAAAATATTGACACTAACAATAGAATTTGCCTTTTCAATAACAAATAATCATTTAAGATAAAAAAGCGTATTTAAAAAAAATTAAAAAAAATAGGAAGAAGAGCACAAAAAATAAAGTGGTGGACTATCGAATGTTGAGGTCCAGAACTCAAACTGAAAATTTTGAATTGGCTATCATCACAAACAAGAAAAAACAAACATACGTAACGCAATAGCTTAAGTTATGAGCATTGACAGTGTCAAAAATATTTACTCCTTCCGATCAATTTAAACGATAATTGTAGTTCATTCTATTAAGTAGCACTTATTAGTGAATATTAAAATAAGTTGTAAATAACCTTATATAATATGTCGAATTACACCAAAAAATATCAGTATATGAATGTTTTTGTGCTCATGCAGTTTTAGATAATATTATAAAAGAAATTCATTATGTTATCGATATATATAACTTAATTCTCTATATAAAAAGGATAAAACTAAAATTGAAGAGTGAAGCAACTATACTAATTAATGAGGGAAGAAAATTATTATAATTTATAAATTTATTAGGATAAAATACCTCAATCAAGTTACAAAAAAATATTGTAATACTTTTCTTTATACTAATTATTTATATAAATTATATAGTATATAGCAATAATAATAATAATTTAAAATAAATTTGGGGCCTTCAAATTTTGGGGCTAAGGCAATGGTCTCACTTGCCAAAGCCTTAGAGCCGCCCGTGGGTATTTAGATATTACGGTACATGTTTTAAGGTTCGTGCATGGTTGCATATAGTTTGAATTGTCTACAGTCTTATACAAGCAGAATCCGAATTTGACGCGAATCATTAGTTGGTTTTTTACTATGTCATTGTTATACCGGTAAAGGGCCCAATATATTTTTCTACTTTTGTAAATGGTCTAAGAATACCCTTCATTATATTATTGATGTCACGATCCCAGTTCGCCCTCCGTGAACTGTCGTGACGGCACCTAGTCCCTATGACTAGGTAAGCCTAACAAGTGCGGAAAACAAATCGAAACTTGCGCAAGTATAAATCAAAAACCAAAATAACTAAAAGGAACGGTATATAGAATGCCGCTCGGCAAATACAGCACAATATCTCAAACTTCTACATCACTATCCCAAAACCCGGAAACTCACGGGAACACAAGCTGAAAGAAATATAGTAAATGCTCTAACTCCGGAATGTCTACATCAGCAGTCTGATAGAAGGGCTAACACTACAAGATAGAATAAAGAGGGAGACTCTTCGGTCTGCGGACGCGGCAGATGTACCTCGAAGTCTCCAAAAGCTCTCCCTGCCTCAAGGATGGTAAGCCTGTGCAGAGGTACCTGGGTCTGCACATGAAAAACATGCGCAGGAAGGGCATGAGTACACCCCGGCGGTACTCAGTAAGTGCCAAGCCTAACCTCGGTCGGGTAGTGACGAGGAAGGTCAGGGCCCTACTGAGATAAGCATATATATATATATATATATATATGACAGGGTAAATAAGCAGTAAAACTGAGAGTCTATAATAAGGGTCTACACAGTAGGATAAGAGTGCAATAACGGAAACAGAGATAAAGGCAAACTACAAGGAATTACCCCTCACAGCGGGATAAATAGTCGGGATCTCTTGGTATCCTCAATATACACACTAGGGATCTCTTGGTATCCCGAGGATCTCGTTGGTACTCCTCAATCAATACTTCCGAGGGATCTCTTGGTACTCCCG